TAATCCGTAATTCCAAATTTTCAGGTAAATGACTATAAAGAATAGGTAGAGCATCTGCAAATGGTAAAGCATCTACATGTGGTTTAATTCATTTTTCATATGTTTCTGGAGTATTGATAGAAAGGAATTTATCAGTCATGAGCGCTTTCATAGAAGCTTATGTTGAACCTAGTTTTACTGCACAATATGTTTCTCGAAGCCATACTATAAATAATGCTGAAGTAGCAACCGTAATTCCAGTGCTATTATTAAATGGATTAAGAGGAGTAAACCTTCCTGCCATCTTTCTTGCTAATACATTAATTTTCACACCATCATTAAAGGCTGCTACTCTTAATGAATAACCATAATTAATCATTTGTATAACCTTATTATAATAGTCATCTGATAGCTTTTGACCAACATATTGTAATATTTGAGTTAAAAGTAGGACCATTGAATTTAAAACATCTGGTAGGGTAGTCATATTTCCTGGAGGATTTATTTGTAAATTCAAAATAATTTGTCTCAAATTTATTTCTCAAGCTTTCCATTTTTGATATTGGTTAAATACTCAGGCTCTATTGAATTCTATTAAGTCAGCTTCAGCTTTGTGCCTTCAATTTATTAGTCGAAAGGCTACCTTTTCTTGCAATAATATATGGTTACGCCTTTCTGCTCTCTGAGTCTTAAGACACCATACCCAACGCTCATTTGCTTTATTATTTAGAGCTTGTGTTAATATTTGGTTATCATTTTGTGACTTAGCTTGAACTTCTTACAATTGATGTCCTAGAGTTCTTGCTTGTCAAACACTTTGTTCTACTACCATATTCTGATTTTGTCAAAATTGACAAATTATACTAGTATAAGTAATAATATTAGCCAAACATGTGCCAACTCTATCAAATTACCCTCTTATATCATCTGGAAGTATAACCCCCTATATTATCCAAATGTATCTGAATTCTTGCTAAAGAAGCTGAAGCCTCAAATCGCCTATCTAAAATAGCTTGTATTGTAT